ACAATGGGTACATCCTACAACCAAATTTAACTTTTGAGAAGACTGAGGGACAAAGCTCTGATCTCGCGTTATAATAACCTTAAACAAACAAAAATTGATGAATATTTCCAAGCTTCATAGTTTGATAAATTCATTAATGATTTTGATTAATAATTCTTGATTATTTTGGTACATATGTATGTGCATTTATGCTTAATTTTATAATAAAACGTAAACTCTCTATTGTTATTTAATTTACTAAATTCGACATACGTAAACTATGTATGATTTGTACTTCAAAGTACATACATATACATAACATATATAATCTTACCATTGGATATGTAATTTGTCGGATTATAAGGTACTCTTTTGTAAAAAATTCCGGACTATAGGGGGTCTTAGGCAGTGCTCTATAATCCGACAAATTCGATAGTCCGACACTGCCCTGCATAATGTTTGTCGGATTACCGGAGGTCCACTGTATTCTATAACACAGTATCACCACACAAAATGCAACTTTGAAGTTCTATAAAATAGCAATCAGAGGATTCCTTAAAGAAAAATATTTTCGTGCAAGTTACATCCTAATCATCCGTTTTAAAATAAGAAATGTAATATTTGCGATATGCACTAAAGTATAGCCGTTCCCATTACTACAAACTCAAACTATTATGATTTGGCCTACTCCCCGTTTCCGGCTTGATGTCGACCTCTAGGACTCCCCATTTTGATTCAAATAGCCACAAAAAAAAAAATGTACCACTTGTCATTGTTTCTGAAGCATCTTCTCACAAATGACGCTTTTTTTGTTGCAGAGTACCAATGTAGTGAACACTTGGAGTCCGCAAGGTGAACTGCCCTTGGAATTAGCATTGCGAGCTCGAAACTCCAGTATAGCGACGACCTTGGTGGAACATGGGGCTGACGTGAATGCCAAGGATTCGGAAGGGGATGTCCTGATACACAGAGCTATCAAGAAAGAATATGCATTCGGGGCATTGTTCTTGTTGAAGCATAACTGCGATGTGTCGAGCACCACAAGGTAGAAAGTTCACTAATTGATAGAATGAGACTTCGCTATCCACGGTTTTTGGTGGGTTATAGCGTGTGCAAGAACGAGTAGCAGTTGCGTTATGCTCCTTGGTACATTTAGTCCATCTGTTTACTTCTTTCATATGGCATTGTGACCAAACCGCCGAAAACAGTTAAAAACACTATAATTTATTTATTACACTGGACAACAAATTTTAGTTTTTTAATTGTATCTTGTGGCAAAAGTGCACTTCTTTGTTAATTTTGGGGCGCTAAATCCAAAAATGACAATGAAATAAAAAAATTAGTTGCGGTTTAGAAAAAAAACTTTTTATTTATAAGGATATATTAAAAAAAGTAACAAGATTCATATACTTATAAGAATCACTATATGCGCTGTACCTTTTTGCTGTTCTTTTATGGATCGTTTCTGGAGCATCTCTACCAAGAGTCCAACAGTAGTCTGCAAGCATGGAAGGATTCCACTTTCCCTGGTACCTTTTTTCCATTGTTGAAATATCCTGATGAAAACGTTCGCCGTGCTCATCACTTACGGCTCCGCAATTGTCAGGAAAAAAGTCCAGGTGTGAGTGCAGGAAATGTATCTTAAGAGACATATTACAGGCCATCTTTTGATACGATGACAGCATATTTTTGACAAGGGTTTTATAGTTGTCAGCTTTTCTATTTCCCCAGAAATTAGTGACCACCAGACGGAAATCATTCCAAGCAGTTTTTTCAATACCTGTTAAAGTGTTTTCAAACTGTGTATCTTTCAAAATATTTTGAATCTGTGGCCAAACAAAAATACCATCTTTAACCTTTGCCTCACTTAGTCTTGGAAATTTCTGACGCAGGTATTGAAAAGCTGACCCATCTCTATCTAATGCCTTGACAAAGTTTTTCATTAGGCCCAACTTGATATGCAGTGGTGGTAATAAAATTTTTTTCGAATCTACTAATGGCATATGCATTGACCTGGCTCTAGGAATTGACGAACAGGCCAGTTTTGTCTGGTGTAATGAAGTGCCTTTGCCCGACTGTCCCATTCACACAAAAAACAGCAAAACTTTGTGTAGCCTAGCTGCAGCCCAAGTAAAAGTGCAACAACTTTCAAATCGCCACAAATACGCCATTGGTGCTCATCGTACTTCATATTGTCATATGATTCTTTCATGTGAACTGCATACCCTACAGGAAGAGATGGTAAAATATTTCCAATATGCAATAACACTGCCTTTAAACTCAATGTTGAACTGTCTATAAACAATCTCCATTCTTCTGGGTTATAGTTTATATTTAAAGCCGCCAGTAAGCCGTTAATGTTACTGCAGAAAACCAAGTTATTCTCCATATTGAAAAATGGTTTTAAGTCTTTGTGGTGTTTACGAAAAACACATACCGAAACATCGTCTTCTAACAAGTTCCACTGCTGCAGTCTTGATCCAAGTAACTCTGCCTTACATTTTGGAAGTTCTAAATCTCTTACAAGATCATATAATTCTAACTGACGAATCACTCGATCGCCATGATCTGATTCGCAAGTGTAGGATTCTGGGGGTTTTGGAATAGGATTTTCGTCACTGTGAGGCACAGGTCTCATCGCAAATGGTATGTTTGGGTAGTTAATAGCCGATTTTTTTTCTTGGACATACCTGTGGCTTGTCCAACACAAGGTATCATGCAAAAGTAACAATCATTAATATGATTTGTAGGCAGATGCGGGGTGCCCACTGTTTGTCTTGATCACCTAGTTTACAACCGAAATAAAGCTGATATGCCTTTGTTATTAATGGAGTAATAGACCGTCTCTGAGACGCAAAAGTCACATCACCACACACGTAACAAAACTGATCAGGATTGTTTACACACTTTCGAGATATCTTGCATGAGCGCTGTCAGCCAACTGAGGAAAAAATGGCTAATATAAAACAATATAATGTACACGTATGTATAACGTAACACAATCATGCCGATTACATCATCTTTCCTTGCCGAATATAAAAATGTAGCACCTGCATTCTTGTGAATTACAGTATATTAACACTGTCACAGCAGGAACACATTACCGTATCTCTAAAACTTGAACTAATATTGAAAAAATAAGTTTCATTCCGGTTTTAGCACATTAAAAATAGTAATATTTTGTTGATTTTATTTAGGATATTTTTTGGCTGTTGATCAGTGATTAATTCTATTCTACAGACCTAACGTAAATGAAATGATTTTGTGATTATTCAAATACATGGACCTTTTTTCCATCGTCATTTTGTCTTAAAAGCGCCATTACTTGAGATTTATTCCAAAAAAGTATTTTTGTCTAGGGTTTTTCTTTTGTGATTCTTCTATATTGTTCGTTTTCAAATATACGAGTACAAGATGATTCACCTTTTTCTGCTCTCCAGTTGAAATGATTAGTTACCACAGACATATCCAAAAGAGACTAATTTCCAGAAAAATATACCTTTTAAGGCGGCTCCGACTCAGTGAGTTTCAAGCCATTTACAAGGGTTCAGCTGCTTCAAAACTGACACTCCATTTTTCAATATTTTTGAATGAAATTCATACAGTATGTTGAGAAGATAATTGCCCAGGGTGCTATAGGAGCACTTTTTGAAATTTTATTTTTGCACAAGTTTTATGATGGGTTGAAGTGCGGACATTTTCTGTTGAACTTCGCGATTTTTTTAAAAAGAACCTAGTGAAAAAAATGAAAAAGTGGTTCTATAGCACCTTGTGGGGTTTTGTTTTCAGCACTCTGTGAAAATTTCATCCAAAACTATCAAAAAATAAAGCGTCAATTTCGAAGCGCTCAAAACCTCTACAAATCGTATTTTGGACGAATTTTGTCTACTGTTTCGTGCTGCCAACCCAAGCGTTGCGGCGCAACGTACGGACTAAGAAAGGACGTATTCAGATAATTTGCTGGCCCTATTTCATATAATATCGCGTAGATAAGTCGTTCTGCAAATAGGTACTCATAATCGCGATTGCTGATACTCCTCGATTTCAAAGCCATTGGCGAGGAAGTATTGTAATCGCGAAAAATGGGAAATAACCGCTCGGATTTTTATGA